TTATTTCAGAAACCTCTGTCTACCTCTGTGTCCCATGGATGTTATTCTATCTTGTCTGCCATTGACTTTGTCTCTTTCTTCACATGGGAGGTTGACCCATCGGGAAAGCACTGGGCATGTGTGTGAAGCAGGGGACCGGTTTTACTTTTTCTCATGTTGACTGTTGTCCCCGCCACCACTCATGATCTCTTCTCAGTGGGGTGTGCCACCGCAGTTTTATAAGTTCCCATGGATTCAATGGCCTCTCTCTGGGTTCTAAGTTAGAATCCACCAGCTTCGTTGTCCATTTTTGTGCAAAACCCGCACTGGGAATCCTTGGTAAACCCACTTCACATTTTAACTCATGTCCCAGCACGTGCCCTTCGTGCTTGGGAGCAAGTGAGGAACTTACACCCGGCCAATTGACCTAAGACATCATTTTATTGGTCATTCAAAATAACGTAAAAGATAGAAAAAGCAAAAGCAAAGAATTACCTGCCCCCAAATCCTCAGAAGTCATTCATTCATGTATTCATTTGCTCACTCATTCACAATACTGATGAGGTGCCTGCTGTGTGCCAGGACTCAGGGTGGATGGTGTAGGGACACAGGGGTGGGCCAGAAAGGGCAGGTCGCTGCATACATGAACATGTCCTGTCCTTGCTGAAGCAAACATGGATCCAGTCGCTACTCTCACCAATTGAGCATTATAATTGTGATTAGAAGTCTAAAGAAGAGACGACTGCTTTTAAAGAGTACGATTTGACCTGATTAGACCGGCTCGGGAGAAAATAATGGTTGATAATTACAGGACAGAAGAGTGCAGGCAGGTAACAGAGGACCTAGGGGGGAGGAGCCCCGAGTGCGAAGGCCTGAGAAAGCACAGGTGTGTTAAGTGTGGCGACGTGAGAAGTCAGACGGAGGGAAGCCTAGGCAGAGGCAGCAAGGGAAGGGGAAAGCAGGAGACCAAAGAAGCCGCAAACCAGCACGATCTAGATCAGGTTGGCTCACAGGAGAGTGAGCTTCTTGCCCCGAGGCCCAGATGAGAAGGTGACATTTCATAATCCATGAGCAGATCTTGACATACGATTTTTGCGTTGGTATTAATAGTTTTTCATCCTTTGCAGAATGCTGCTGAAATTTCATTTTGCACTTACCTTGAGATTAAGCTCCTCTTTCAGACAGGAGTCAGCTTGATGTAAATCTCAGGTGGTGGGCACTTGTCCTACACAATCTTTTAACACTTCCTCAGGCGCCTCCCTTGAGCAAGGGCCCTCTGTGCCTTGTTCACCCAAGGTCATGATGCCGACACACAGTAGGTGCTTGTTAAATACACGTCAAATTAATTCATTAGTAAAGCAAACATTTTTAAAAATTGTAGTTCTAAGAATATATTCATTCGGAGCACTCCCGGGGGTTATCAACAGCATCTTCTAAGGCAGATGTGACCCTGGAAACCATCTCTGGGCATGTTTTGCGCAACTATCTAATAGTCATTCATCGGAGTATTTCTAATGGCATGTTTCTGCAGATTTTATTTAAGTAAAAATATATTATAATAAGAATTGAGCCAAAACCAGTTTGGCTCAATGGATAGAGCGTCGGCTTGGGGACTGAAGGGACCCAGGTTCGATTCCGGTCAAGGGCATGTACCTTGGTTGCGGGCATATCCCCAGTAGGGGATGTGCAAGAAGCAGCTGATCGATGACTCTCTCTCATCGATGTTTCTAACTCTCTATCTCTCTCCCTTCCTCTCTGTACAAAATCAATAAAATATATATTTTTTTAAAAAGAATTGATTTATAGTTTATTTCACACTTTATCCTACGTAGTTCAAAAATATACTTTGAAAAGCAATGGAAGCTTATTTTGATGAGTATACTATGTTGTCTCAAGGCCAACTTTGAAAAAAGAACTTCAAAGAAATATAGACAGTGTTTAAAATAAATATTGTTTTTACTGATCAAGGCTCCTCCCCCTTTGTAAAAGGATTCGTTAAGAAATATTTGTGTACATTTCAGCACAAATGGTGGCATCTCGTCTTAGTTGACAGGTCATGTGTTTTTGTGAGCCAAGGTGGGGGTTGTCTGGGGTTGAGGGGAGAGGGAGGAGAGTATTTGAGAGAGATCAGTGAATTGACACTGGCGGCCAGCCCTGGGCCTGGGCCTGAGGAGAGGAACTGGGGGTCAGGACGAGGGAGCTGTCCGAGGGAGGCAGGGTGGGGAGCGTGAGTGGGCCGTGGAGAGATGGGTCGGACCTGGGGGAGCGCTTAGACTGTGCCAGGCTTTGTTCTGCATGGCTCCCATGTTAATACATCATTCAGTCCACGCTCTGTGCTCTCTGTGTTGGGCATCAGACAGTGCCCTGCCTCCTCTCCCCTCAAGGTAACCAGATCCTTTCCTCTGCTTTCCTCCCTTAGGCCTGTGTCTCACTCGCGTTTGGGCTCCACTCGTCATATACCGCCACCGAGACAGACTTGCCCTAAAGATACAATGTCTGTGGAGATCTCCCTCTCCCCCCGCCCCACCACACACCAGGTCCAGCAGTGGGAGGACGGGAGGAAGCAGGGAGCCCAGGGAGAGCTGCCCAGTACATATCAGCGAGGTGTGGGAGTTTTTATTGTCTTTAATATGTTTAATGTCTACTTTTCAGAATTGGAAGATTGTGAGGCTGCGAGATGTGCCCCACGGGCCCTTGGTGGCCATTGGCTCATCTCTTGAAGGACAGCTCTGGTTCTGACTTGCTTTCAGAAATGAGCACCCTGTCCCACCAACCTTCTCAAAAACTCAGTCACGAGAAGACTCGCCAGCTTAGTTTGAGGCGTGGGAGGGGCCGCAGGCGGCATGAAGCTTTAGTCCCCTTATCTCCAGGGCCTGACAGGTGTCTGAGCAGCTCCAGGCACGGGTCCGAGAGCACAGGGGCAGCCACGGCAAGTCAGCAGGGTCCCTCCCTTACCCCTCCAGCAGCAGTTCTTTAGAAAAGTCCCTGCCCACATCTCATCCTCTCTTCACATTTGCACCCACTGTTTCTAAAATGGATGGTGGGGGAATCCAGTGACCAGACAGCCGAATGGAAACCCCTTAAATAAATGGGGCCCATGTCTATACAGCACGTAGTGTGTGTTTCATTGAAAAGTTTCAGAACGAAGCAACAGCAAACATCACCCTTCTGCCAGCCCCAGTCCCGTACCTCCTGGGAAAGAGGAAAGGAACTATCTGAGGTGGATTCTCTCTAAGGGCTCCCCCACCCTCTGTTGGAATGGGGAAGGCGGGAGCCGCCCTGGAAGGCGTCAGAAGTCAAAGGGGAGGCAAGCGTTGGGACCGTCCCATTGTCAACGGCTGTGACGCCAGCCTGAGTAAATTTCTAGAACTGGAAAAAAAAAAAAAAAAAAAAAAACCCAAAAAACTGGTTTGCGTCTCTATTTTGGGGAAAGCTGCCACTGAGAGATCATGATGTCATCAATAGGATGATGTGTTCCGATGACTTATAGAAAGAGGTTGTCAACTAGAGTCTCATGCTGATACCCAGGCTTGCGCTATTAGCAAAGATTCAGTGATAAACAGCTCAGTATGTGGTCACTCACTAATAAAATACAGCATGGGGACCCATGGATGCCGGCCTGAGCTGTGTGACGTTTCTCACGAGCTGCAGTCAGTGTGCTCAGCGCTGCCTGCTCCTGGTTTTGTGCTGAGAGGGTGGTTCATGGTTTCAGGGACTGGAACGGTGTGAGTGTTTGGTTGGCGCTTCAAACAGGTTTCTCCAAACATCCTGGAGGAGACAGGAGACGAGCGAAAAGAGGTGGAACAGACCAGTTTCTCCTCTGTGGTCAGCGTTTCCTGGTTTGCAAAGGATGAGTCAGGCGCCTGTCACTGCATGGAGGAGCTGAGAGCACCCGCTTTTGTGCCTTAATCTCCCCTGCTAAGCACGGCCCTAAATCATGGGCATAAGCACACTTCACTTCAGAACGCCAACGTGTTCCCATCCTTTCTTCCTCTCTCTCTCCTCACCACACTCTGGTTTCGGGGAAGGAAAGGAAGGCTCCATCCCCACCAGCTGCCCGGAGCCCCATCTAGGCGATGAATGAGAAGCCGGTGGGTGGCTCCTTGCGCTTTAATTGTGGAAAAGGCCGATTTTGGAGAAAACCAGCAGCCCCCATGTAGCCACCATCCAGGGCTTCAAAACAGTCCTTTTCCGTAGTAACCCGGCCTCGGTCTTGCTTTCCTGTGGCCTGGGTAAATGGACGGGGTGGGGAACGTCGGCTTGCAGCTGTTCCTATGGAAAATGTTGCAATCACTAATAAATAATAATACTACAGAAATGAACTGTGTTTCACCTGCTCACATTGGTGAACAGACTTGTGCCCAGCCCCCGTATATGATATATAGTTGTCTTTAACTTAGGCTCATTTTTTGGTATCACTGTCCTATTGGCCATGAGATTTCCAAACAAAACAAAACAAAACAAGAAAACAAAACCCCCAACCAAACAAAAATAGCAACACACACAGCTGGAGTGAATCCCTTACACATGAAAGGCCGGTGGGCGGCAGGCGGTCTGCTGGACCTTTGCACAGAGTTTGTGAACTAGAACCCCGGTCCCCTCTGGCTGGAGCGGCTGCGCCCCCGTGCTGCCCCCTGACCCGGGCAGGGCGGCCGGTCCCAGGCCGGTGCCCAGGGCCCGATGGGGATGGGCAGGGCCCGCTAATCCGGGGCGGGCTTCTGGGTGCGGCGGGAGGGAGGGCCGGGCAGGGGCGAGGCCCGCGGGGACCCACCTGGCTCTCCGAGGCCGGACTGGGCCGGAGGCGGGGCCGCCGCCGCCGGGGCCCGTCCGGAGCCCCACCCCGGGCGGCGGTAAAGCCCCGACTCCAGGCCCGCGCCCCACAGGCCCCAGAGGAAGTGCCTGCGCCCGATCGCACCGCCGCCGCCTGCGCCCGCCGGCCGTGCACCCCGACCCCGGACCCGGACCCGGACCCGGACCCGGACCCCGACCCCGACCCCGACCCCGTGCCGCCCGCAGCGCCCATGGCGGCCGCCCCCGCCCCGCGCGGAGCCCCCCGGCTGCTGCTGGCCCTGGCGGTGAGTGCGCCCCTCGCTCCGTCCGGTCCCATCCCGTCCCCCAGGCGCGGGGCTCCCGTCCCATCCCGGTGTCCGGGGCGCGGGGCTCCCATCCCATCCCGTCCCCCGGGCGCGGGGCTCCCGTCCCATCCCGTCCCCCGGGCGCGGGGCTCCCATCCCATCCCGTCCCCCGGGCGCGGGGCTCCCGTCCCATCCCGGTGTCCGGGGCGCGGGGCTCCCATCCCATCCCGTCCCCCGGGCGCGGGGCTCCCATCCCATCCCGGTGTCCGGGGCGCGGGGCTCCGATCCCATCCCGGTGTCCGGGGCGCGGGGCTCCCATCCCATCCCGTCCCCCGGGCGCGGGGCTCCCATCCCATCCCGGTGTCCGGGGCGCGGGGCGGGGACGGGGAGCGCGGCCGCGGGGAGGGCGGCGGGCCGGGCGGGAGGCGGTGACCCCGCCGTGATCCCGAGGCGGAGGCGGCTCCGGATGCGATGGGCGATCGGCGGCACCGGCCCGGGGAGCGGGAGCCCAGCCTCCCCGCGGGGCCGCCCGGTGCGGGGTGCGGGCGCCGGGAGGAGGGGCCCGGGGCGGTGCCGGTGCGCGGGGTCTGGACCGTTCCCATTTCCATTTCCCTTTTCCCTCTCCGGTGCCCCGGGTGACCATCGCCTTCGGGTTGGAGAAAAGACCCCCAGACCCTGCTCCCCGGGCACCGGTGCCCCCGCTCCGCCCGCCCGGCCCGCCCGGAGGAGGTGCCCCGCGGGGAGGAGGGTGCCCCGCGGGGAGGAGGGTGCCCCGCGGGGAGGAGGGTGCCCCGCGGGAGCGCCCGGGCCGGAGGGCGGGATCCCAGCCCCGGAGGGTGAGGATGGTGAGGATGGGGAGGAGGAGAAGAAGGAGGAGGAGGGTGAGGAGGGGGAGGACGGGGAGGAGGGGGAGGACGGGGAGGAGGGGGAGGACGGGGAGGAGGGGGAGGATGGAGAGGAGGGGGTGCACGGGGTGCCTCCCGGGCCAAGAAGCGCTAACGGGCCCCTGGGGGAGGCGCTCCTCCGGGCTCCTCGGAGGCTCAGGCTTTGGTCTGAAGTGAAACCCAATGAAGGCAGAGGGGCCCTGGGAAGGTTGGGGACACTGGGGGCTGAAATACCGGGGCAGCCACCGCTCTGACTTTACAGAGAAGCCCTCAGACTGCTAGCTGCTGAGATGGTGGCTGTCACTATGGGAAGGTCTTTGGAAGTTGTTACTAAGTCTGTATTAGTTGTTTCTAAGGGATTTTCCTCACCCCCATGGTCCCCAAACCCTTCCCTGAATTCCTGGGCCCTTGTTTTTTGTTTTGTTTTGTTTTAAGGAAAAGGGATGGTTAGTCACTGGCAATAAATAGCATCGCCTTGTATGTACCCCCACACAGAGCTGTCTGCATTCACCTCAGAGCCTTTTAGAAGAAAATGTGCGGTGAATAATACATGGAATAACACCCATGCGGGTCCGCTTAGCTTCGCAGCAGGATAGACCAGAGGTGGGGTGGGTGGGGAGAGGGCAGGGGCCTGGGTGCCCCTCATTCACTGCCCTCTGGGGGGGCAAGGCCTGGGGTGGGGCCCTAAGAGGACCCAGGTCCTGCGCATCTCTGCAGAGCCGGCCTCAGTGGCGGCCGTGGATGTGGGCCCCGTGGGGAAGGTGCACAGAGACTATTGGAGTCGGAGACGTTATTCAATAAGCGTGACTCTGGACGCCCTTGACATTTCACGATCCAAATACATCAAGAAATCCTTCCCCATTCCACCCCCTCCCCCTTCAACTCTGGCTACTGCCCAAACACCATGGCGCTTCTCTCTCAAACCATCAGGCGATTCATTGCCAAGTCCAGTCACTCCTTGCACAGCTCCGCCTTGGAGATGGGGCCTTGATTCTTGAAATGCACCGGTCTCTTCCCCGGCCACTCAGAATCGGCCGCCCCATTCTGGGTCTTGTCCCTAAGATGTCCCACAGGTGCCTCCGTAGACCACATGTATGTTGTTAGCGTGGATATCTCCACTGAACAACAGGCCTTTAGTATGATGGCGGCACGCCATTATCCCCAGAGAATGCTGCTTTTCTCCTGGTGGCCTGTGTTTCAAACACCTCGTTTTTCTTTCCCCGCTATTCCCCTCCTTCCATCCATCGTTCGGTCCCTTTCAACCCACATCCAGAAGTGTCTCCTGGTGCCTTTCCCTCTCGCCATCACCTCGGCTCCTTCTCTTTGCCTTTGCACATGATGCCAGGATGAATAAACCTTCACAGATGTTATCTCCTCTATGGGGAGTGGAGCATGTTCATGGGGATGGTTACTAGAAATGGGATTGCCAGATAACAGTATAAGGGACTTTGTACTTCTCACAGGTGTCAGCAGCTCCCTCTCCCCTCCAGAGAGGTTGTAGATGACTAGCCAGGAAGCTATTTTGTGGTAGATAGCGTATCGTATCAGTGAGGAGATAGATATACACACAGTACACTACACTGTGTGGAGGTGGCCTGAGGCAACAGGACTTAATCTAGGCGGGCATCTGCCAAAAAGATAAAGCTGAATCCATAACTCATGCAGGACACCGAGAAAATTCCAAACAGATGAGGGATATAATTATAACACATCTACCATACAGATATCAGAAGAAAACAGGACGAATTTCTACTGAAATCGGGAGTAGGGATTTATGGCTCAAACTTCAAAAGCCATGTATTAAAATTGAGAAAATCAATTCCATTAAGACACCCAGACACAAACACTTGTCCATGGCAGTCCACTATGCCAATGTCAGAGGCAACTGACAGGGTGGAAAAACACATTTCAAAGGTTTAATGTAATGTATCGAGTGCTCTTCTGAACCAAGAACATGGACATGGAAAATTCCTATAAAGTAACAAAAACGGCCCATAAAAATGTCTCAATCTCATTCATAAGAAGAAAAGGTGACTTTAAGGCTATAGTGAGTCACTTCTGATTTGGCCCACCTCCAGAAGTTTGACAGCTTGCTGTGTAGGCAACAATGTGAAGAAATTGAAAGTCCCATAGCTGGTGAATGGGACAAAAATTGCTACCTTTATGGACTGTAGACAGGTATATCCCATGCAAAACTGAAGCTGTTTTACTTCTCCCTTTCCAGATCGGGTGCATTGAATACCTTTCAGTTCTTCATATACGAATATCACATTATTTTTTATTTTCGAGACTGTAGGATCTTTTAATATGTGCTGAGGCTAATATCCTTCCATTGCTTTTCTTTTTCATAATTTTCCTGTCTGTTCCTAATTATTGATATTTTCTTATGGCCTTTGAAATTATCTTGTCTAGTTCCAAAATATATATATATACTGTTGGGATTTTTATTAGGACGCTGAAATTTATAACAGTGAAAACCGATACGTTTATGTTGTTTATTTTCCTTTTCCAAATAAAGATGTATCTGTTGCAAGTCCACTTCTGTGCCCTTGGGAAATACTTTCAGATTTTCCTCAAGTAGGTTTTCCATGTTTCTTGTTAAATTTATCCCTAGGATTCTATTTTATTGCTTTTGGAAATGGTTTATTCTCTTCCATTATATTTACTTAGATGGTTTTATTTATGTGAATGAATACTCATGGCTTCTCTATTTTAATTGTTATTGCTGCTCCTTTACTGAAATCCTCTTATTGTTCATAGGAATTCATTGGTTGGTTTACTGGGGTTTTCCAAGGTAATAGTCATATAAATTGCAAATAGAGATTTCCTCTTTTACTTCTTCCTTTCCAATTCATATGCCATCCCCTATCTTCCTCTTGCCTGATGTACTTTAACTAGAGGCCCTGGGCAGGGATTCATGCATCTGGAAAGGAACTGTGAGTCACGAAGCTGCAGCAAGCACAGGGGCAGGTCTTGGCCCATCCTCCACGCCCCTTCCTGGCCCTTCCAGCTGTGGCCCCCAGTCCCCCATCTGCTGGCAGCCCCACTCCCGCCACTGCCACTCCCACATGCTGATGGCACCAGCCTGGCTCACACCCACTGACGGTACGAAGCAATTCGGGCTGGCGCCAGCAGTAGGTACAAGCAGGGCTGGTGCTGTCAGCGGGTGTGAGTGGCGGCTGCTGCCCTGATCGCCCCTCAGGAGCAGGGGGAGGTGGAGAAGCCCCCATGGGCGATTGGGGCCAGCAGCCGCCGCCCGCACCTGCTGACAGCACTGAGTGATTGGGACCAGCACCCATTGCCCGCAGCAGGTGTAAATGCCCAGCAGGACCCCAGTGCACTGGAGCAAAAAATTTTCAGTAACCACCAGAGGCTCGCCCCAATGACAGCGACCAGTGCCCTGCCTTGGTCTGATGCCCCCTGCTCACCTGCTCCAGCTGTGGCTGATGACTTTCATGTTCTGTGCTCTGCTGCCTGCTGCCGACGCCTGCCATGGTCTGCGCGTTCCCCCCTGGTGGTCAGTGCATGCATAGCGACTGGTCGTCTGGTTGTCTTGGTGTTCTGCCATTCGACCTATTTGCATATTCGGTTTTTAAATATATAGATGTAACATTAGCGGTATACAATGGCCTTCAAAAGTTTGTTTTGTTGCTGAGTGTAGTGTGGCTGCCATTTGTGCTTTCTTATTCATGTTGTGATTATAATCTATATATATAAAAGCCTAAATGAACATTACGACCAGATGACCAACCAGAATGACTGGTCGACCAGTTGCTATGACATGCACTGACCACCAGGGGGCAGATGCTCAACGCAGGAGCTCCCCCTGATGGTTAGTGGGCTCCCACAGCCCCTTCCCTAGCCAGCAAACCTCTTGTGGTCCCTCCCTTTGTTTAGCAGGCCACATCTGGCATGAGGTTCCTAGACCTGGTGAATTCCTGGCATGAGGTTCCTAGACCAAGCCAGTGACAGGAATGTGTACCCCAGAACCCTGCAAGGGCCAGCTTACCTCCAGCTCACCCCTCCGATGAAGGCTTCGTGTTTGGGCCCAGGCTAATGTGGGCGACACTTGTCTTAGATCTAAGGTGGACCCATGTTTTGTCTTCATTCTTTTCTAGGGATTTTTAAAAAAAAAAATAGTCAAATCTTTTCGGATCAGAAGTCATATCTAGTTGCCACTCTGTGTCCCTCCTTTGCCCTGTCTTTGCCTAGCAATTTCTTGCTAAATGCTTTAGGTTGTCTCCGTAACAACGTATTCGTCATTTTCATTTCTGCCGTGGGGGGTTTGTCTGACTGTCCTGGCTGCCTTTATTGGAAATGAAATGGTTTCCCAGTTCCAATCCTCACCCAGGTCAGACTTATTTAGTCCAACGGAGAGGTTCTTATGCAATTTATCTGCTTAAAACCAGTCTTTGTCTGAGTCTCTATAGGAAATAAGACCCATGTGCTTGGTTAATGCTTTCAGGATCTGTCCACACCCACTTGTCTGAATACATTTTAAACGTCTGTTCTCTCTTGCTGTATGCATCGGCTATTCCAGATTTTCATGTTCAGGTCTGTGTTGTCTCTGAGCCTCTACACATGCCATTCCTCTGCCTGGAACATACAAACCCTGCTCCTTCTTGGCATGGATAACCATGCCGCCACTCTTCAGTGACATCACCGGGCTCTGACCCGGGGCTAGTGTCCCCGCTCTCCCATGATGCCCTGTGCTTCCCTGTTACAGCCCTTACCCTACTTCACTGAAGCTGCAGATATGCCTTACCCTTGACTTGAGTGTTTTGTGAGGATCATGTTTACTGCTCTGTGTCTGACACATGGTAGACATTCCTAAATATTTGCTGAATGCATCAATGAATGGGTGTAAAGGACACTTATCCAAAGTATTGTCTTCATTCATTCTTCCCTTTGCCCCCATTTTTACGTAGTCCAGGTGACCATCCTCCCTCTCTTAGATTCCTGCAATAGCTTCCAAACTGGTCTCCATCTTTGCTTCTCTATAGCCCATTGTCACATAGCCACCGGAATGAGTCTGTGCAAATGAAGGATGATTTTGTATAAATACTTGCTGGAATAGGCCTCTGCAGCTCCTACTCCTGATGCTGCTCCTCTCTGCACTCAGTGAAGTCTGCACTCCTTCGTGGGGCCTTGTGTGATGTGCCCTGACTGTCTCTTTAATATCTTCTCCTGTCACTCTTCCCGCACTGTGAGCTACTACGAGGGCCTCTGTTTTGTCCCGATAAAACTCAACCAGTTCCTCCCAGGACACCTGCTCTGCTGTGTCCACGCGAAAGGCTCTTCCATTGCTGCATTGGTTGGTTTGCTTCCTCATTTCATTCACGCACATAGGATTTTTCCGTTGTCGCTCTCCATGTCTTGTTTTGCTCCTTACTTTATATCTTGGCCTCATGTGACCTTTGTGCATTTGTGTATTAACTTGTGGAGTGTCATTATGATGTCACCTCCATGAGATCAAGGACTTTGCCTTGTTCATTGCTGTAGCCTTTGAACTCTGCCCAGCAGCTGGCAAGCAGCCCCTGAAGGTTGGTTGAAGGAGACAGTGGATGCTTCTTGCAATCCCCCTGAAAAGGAGCCCTCAGCCATCGGCCTGCACCCCTGTTCTGCAGCTGGGACAGTTCCGCCCATATTCTAACTCCCAGCCCCGACATGGTGTCTGTCGTCAGTTTCCAAGTGAAATATAGTTCTGTGTTACCTGATTCTTCACATATCATTAAAATTAGATAAAGATTCTTCAATGTGTGTTGGAAGTAAAAATTTTTTAAAAATATATTTTTATTGATTTCAGAGAGGAAGGGAGAGGGAGTGAGAGATAGAAACACCAAGGATGAGAGAGAGTCATTGACTGGCTGCCTCCTGCATGCCCCTTACTGGGGACCCAGTCCTCCACACAGGCAGGTGCCCTGACGGAAATGGAACTGTAACCTCCTGGTTCCTAGGTTGTTGTGCAACCACTGAGTCACACCTGCTGGGCAGAAGTAAAATTTCTATTCAAATTTTGCTGATTTTAATTTATGTTTATAGACTTTGTAAGTTATGATGTAAATGTTACTTTTACTTATCTTGCATTTGGTCAAACTATAGAAGAAAAACTGCATTTTTCAGAAGCATCCATTGTAAAATCTCAGAGAAAATGTCATTAAATTGCAGTGTGTTCAAATATATATTATATTGGAATTGGTTGGTTCACCATAAATCACCAACTCATTAAAATTTGTTTTAAGTAAAATATTTTCTAAAATGACCTTAACTCTCCTTTATGAGAAGATGGACCTTCAAAATAAGTTAGTTTTTCAAGGGTGTTTTAATGGAAATGGGCCACATCACCCCCAGGGCAGTGAGTCAGTGCTCCTCTTTAAAAGCACTGCTTTTTTGTTTTTTGTTTTTTAATACATTATTATTGATTTCAGGGAGGAAGGGAGAGAGAGAGAAAAACATCAATGATGAGAGAGAAACATTGACTAGCTGCCTCCTTCATGGCCCCTACTGGGGATCAAGCCCACAACCCAGACATGCACCCTTGACCGGAATCAAACCCAGTACCTTTCAGTGCAGCCTACGCTCTAGCCACAGAGCAACACCAGCTAGGGCGAAGCACTAGGGTTTTATTTAGGCTGTTTTATTTGATTTGGTACCACAGCTCAATTAGGAAATTGGCAATTAATAGACACATTTTGCTGGCTCATTAATTTGTTTTTGTTTCTCTTTCCTATTTACACACCTGTGCTGCCTTCCTAATGGTTTCAGTGCTTGCTTGCTTGCATAGGCTGTCTTTGGTTCCTCAGTATACCACTGAGTTTGGGAAATTATTATTAACTTTATTTTATAGGATAGGACAGTGGTCGGCAAACTGCAGCTCATGAGCCACATGTGGCTCTTTGGCCCCTTGAGTGTGGCTCTTCCATAAAATACCACGTGTGGGCGTGCATGTACAATGCGATTGAAACTTCGTGGCCCATGTACAGAAGTCGGTTTTTGGCTCTCAAAAGAAATTTCAATCGTTGTACTGTTGATATTTAGCTCTGTTGGCTAATGAGTTGGCCAACCACTGGGATAGGAGACAAAGCCCAAGATGGGAGGGATTCTCTGAATGTACCTTCTCTGTGAAGGAGTGAGCCAGGCTCAGTCCATTTTTTCTTCTTACCCTGATACCGTTTTCCGATTTTTTACTCCAGTGTAATTATGACTTTATTTTGTTAATTATATAAACTGATTTATAATTGTGCAAATTTATAATTTATATAAACATATATATATATATATATATATGCATTAAAAGTATTTTTAACTCATAATGTTGCATTGATTTTTAGATCTTCACATATGCCTGTGATGCATGCAAAACAGTGACATTCCATGTTCCCTCCCAACTGGATGCTGGGAAATTCGTGGGTAGAGGTAAGACACTGCTGAAGTAGGTAGAAGTCTCATTTGTACGATCTTCTAAAGTGAGTGTAACTTTCAGAGGAATAACTTTGTTGGAACCAAGAGTTAGAACTAATATAGCACATTATCATTTATAATGCTTATGGTATCATTCCAATGAAAGGAATATTGTGGTTTTTTTAAATTTAAAAACATGATCGTATAAAATAGATAAAATGTTTACTTTGAGTAATAAAAATTATTAATATTCACATTAATTGAAGGAGATGATATATGTGTTAACATGTTTCTGTGAAATTGAGAAATTGTGTTGAAACTGTTTCCTAAGTTTAATGGTACTGTTTTTGGATTTTTTGTCCAAAAACAATACCATTAAACAAAACATTTTGGCATCTTATTGACATTGATTTTCACATATTGTTTTTTCAGTATTTAAATGTTTATATAACTCAACTGTATAAGAAAAAAAATCAGACCAATGAGAACACAGAATATGATGACCATTTAATAATAGACATAAATAATTCAAGAATATCTTAATTCAATAACTGCCCATTTTAATTCTCTAGATTCTAGTTACTTCAAATGTACTAATTTCATGTAATAAAAACTTTTTTGGTGTTAATTTAAATATTCAAACAATGGGATTTACATGCTTTTATATCAAGACAAACATCTTTCTATAAAAGGGGCTAGTGTATGTGTTAGCAGTGATGTGTGTGCTAATTTGTGTTTAGCACAACTTAGTTAACCAGAGTTTTGTATGATCTTTTAAAAACAGAAAGTTTAAAGTGTCAGTGTAGTTAATTTTCCGTTGTTGCCCCCATGCGTACGTTGCTGCTAACACCATGTTTTAGCGTGTTCCCTCACTCGGGCTGCCCTGCCCGCTATGTTGCAGTGAACCTGGAGGAGTGCTTGCAGTCCGCCAATCGAATCCACTCCAGTGACACTGATTTCCGGGTCTTAGAAGACGGATCCGTCTACACGGCCAGTGCTGTTCTCTTTTCCTCTGTGAAGAGACATTTCACCATCTCCCTCTCCAACGCGCAGGAGCACGGAGACAAGAAGATACAGGTCCTTCTGGAGCATCAGACACAGGTACCTGACTCTAGAGGGAGGCGGAGGGAGGGGTGTCCTTCAGGTCACCCATTACCGGGAAATGTGCAGTCAGAGCAGCGGAGGGACAGTGTAGCTGTCCCACAGGAAAGGACTGTGCGCAGGGTCAGAAGGGCAGTGATTTGGGACAGCGGAGAGCGTGAGCTGAGCTACCGCATAGGAGCTGGAGATCAGACACGAAGGAACACTTTCTGCCTTCTCCGTAGAATCGATTTTTAAAGACGAGTGTTGGAACTGTATCTGGAGGCCTCGGGCCTTAGACGGCATGGCCTTGAGGGTTAGGAAGGAGATGGCTACCAGGTTGTGGTTTGGACCTGACCTGTGCCTATGACATGGTGAGGCCCAACTCGCCATGCCTCCTGTTCAGCCCCGGCCGCTCTCCCTCAGCAGCTGGAGTTGTCACCGGTCTCCCCTCGCTCTGACCGCTCTCCCTGACCTCCTGGCTCTCCCTCCTGCTGGGGAGGGGAAGAAGCTCACACTAAGCCAGAAGGGCGCACCCCTCTCCCTCTCTCGGCGACCTCTCCTCCATGGATTTGCAGGACAGCATGGCGAGAGTGGTTTATTTCTCAGTGTTGTTCTCCGCTTACAGTCCCATCTCTCTCCTTCCCATCCGCCCATCCCGTTATTTTCACAAGAGGGCTGCTGCATTGTTGCTTCATGAACGTGTTGTGGGGGTGATGTTTCGCTTCATTTTCACGCACAGCCTGGGTCACACACTTCCCCCTGTCCCTAGGAGGGCAGAGAGATGCATCAGCACTCCTGTGCTTGGGAGTGAAATGGCCTTTGGCTTTCTCTTCTATTTTTTTCTAAATCGAGGCACTACAGCCAAGTCACCCCGAGGAGAAGGTGCTGAGACGAGCCAAGAGAAGGTGGGCTCCGATCCCTTGCTCGATGATGGAGAACTCACTGGGGCCCTTCCCAATGTTCCTTCAGCAGGTAGGTTCCTTCCTTCCTGCTGGGCAGGGCTGTGCTTACCACCATGTTTCAAGTTTAGACATTGAGTATTTAACACATAGTGGCGTGTGACAGATGAATGAATAGGTATGTAAATCATGTGTTTAAATATATGGGAATAAATATTTGTCTTTAAACATACATGTACCTTTTGCAGTTTTAGTCATGCAGCAGCCATTATTAAAACTGTGAAGTCCAGTTAAGACTTTCAGACACATGGTTCCCTAATGGATTTTCCCATCAACAAGGAGATCTAGAACACTCCCAAACATCTCTGGTAGAAAAAGAAAAAAAAGATGAATATTGCTTCTTGAGAAAAGGCCAAATGCTGTGAAGGAAAGACACATACCCCTTCCTGCTGCTTATCCCCAGGTCCACTGCTTCCTCCACTGAATCCACTTTCTCTCTTTCTCTCTCTCCCTCCCTCCCTCCCTCTCTTTCCCTTCACTGTCTCTAAAAATAAATGGAAAAAATACTTGCAAGTGAAGATTAACAACAGCAAGGAGAAGCAGCAAGATAATTTTTCATGCTCAGGATACTTTCTAAGAAAAGCAAAGTTGTAGATGTTTGACCCCCATTTCCCTTAGCTATTCTGGAGAAGTTAATGCTACTACGTTGTTTTCTTCACGCTTTGCTCTTGAAATTTCTCAGTGATCAGATGTCCTTATTCTCTCTTGCTTTTCATTCTTACATCATAATAAATAGAGAGCAGTTAGCAATTTCAGTAAAAGTGGCAACTTTTACAACGTGATTGTATAAATATATAGATGAAGATTTTGCTGAAATAAAATGCTGTCTCACGTATCTAATATCTGCCTTCTAGATTGAATCGGACACAGCCCAGAAGTACCCCGTATACTATTCCATCAGCGGACCCGGCGTGGACAAGGCGCCTCTGAACCTGTTTTACGTGGAGCGGAATACCGGGAACCTATTCTGTACGGGGCCCGTGGACCGCGAGCAGTACGACTCCTTTGAGGTAAGCCTAACGTGGGCCTGTTGTCTCAGTGACCATTAAACTGGTCCATTTCGTTTCTCTATTCGTTTACCCTTTCTATCTTCTGAGTTTATCATTGCGGCATCCGATAGTGCAGGCTTGGCTTGAGGCAAAAGGAATTTCATGGATTCTCTTAGAGAGTTCTCGGTGTCATACTTTTACTGTTTTTGTTGTTTGTTTTTCAAAAAAAAAAAAAAAAAAAAAAGGAGCCAAAACCGGTTTGGCTCAATGGATAGAGCGTCGGCTTGGGGACTGAAGGGACCCGGGTTCGATTCCGGTCAAGGGCATGTACCTTGGTTGCGGGCACATCCCCAGTAAGGGGTGTGCAAGAGGCAGCTGATCGATGTTTCTCTCTCATCGATGTTTCTAGCTCTCTATCTCTCTCCCTTCCTCTCTGTACAAAATCAATAAGATATATATATTTTTTTAAAAACACAGAAAAAGGAGTACCACTTCAAAAACAGTCATTTAAGTGACAGAAAAGCTCTGTGAGCCTCTTTCTGGTGGAGAGAGAGGTGGGAGGTAAGTGAAGTTTAGAATTGGGCCCCGAACCTTTGCAATGGGAGAAAATTAACAGGTGGTGAGCAAGGAAGGACTACGGACAGATTAGTCAGTCATTTCAGCATCTGGGTGAGCTCCCGTGGAGGAATGAGAGGTAATAATGTAAGAATTTAACTTAATGTATTGATTTTCCAGCAGGATCCGGTCATTAGCTTGAATAAATTTTAATTAGTTTATATCTATTTTTACTAGTTAATTATTCACTAGTAGACCAAATTAACTGAACAGGCATTTATTCTTTGAATTAAATATTTAGGGAAACAATTGCTACAGTATGGCCTTCTAAACACCTGTGTTGTTCTGTTCTTTCTATGATCATTGTCATGCGTAGAACGTGCATTGAAATTCATATTATAAAATCAAGAGAAATAAAGTGTATTGTCCACACAACTTATAGCCATTCATTTTTTTCTATTTGACATGCCCCCTTTTTCTAAATAAAAAAGTTTATATGAAGACAGTTATCTAAATATAACCATCAATATGCCTAAAACCAAAATTAGTAGAAAATAAGATAATATCTAAGTTAACAGCATATGGGAAATTTGGAGTCCTAAAGATCCAAAGTTGAAAAAGATCCAGAAAATTTATTTAAAATTAATGCACCTAAAACTTAAACAAAACATAATCGTTGTTAAGACTGTTTGGGGGAAATAATAATAAAAACCATTATACTCTTTACAGCAATAGTGAGGAAACCAGAATTATCTGTTATTACATTAGACAATTTAAACATAGAGTGCTTAGGCTACATCATGATATCAACCGCCTTTTGTGGCCTTAAGGGTATGTTCACGTCCAGATACAGTAACAAGTGGTAAGCCTCACACTGCAGTGCTGAACAGAGTCCAACTTACAGCCAACACTAGTGTGAACCATATTTTGATGGATTCTTTTTGCTCTTCTTCTTTTACTCTCTTCACAGATAGTGGCCTTTGCAGCAACTCCAGATGGTTACCACCCAGAATTCCCGCTTCCGCTGAAAATCAAAATTGAGGATGAAAATGATAATTACCCCATTTTTACAAATTCAACGTACATATTTACAGTTGCTGAACATTCCAGAGTTGGTGAGTACCCACCCACTTTGACAATGTTTGGCAGCTTGGTGTGTCAATTCCAAAGTTCAGTTTTCCCCTGCCGTTGGGAGTCAGCATGTCCTCCTGGTAGAGAAGAGGGACTTCTCAGGCTGCTCGGGGTGTGACTCTCTGCCTTTCACTAGCTCGCTGCGTGCTGGGACCCTGGGCGATTGCTAAAATGTTGACAAGTCTTGGTTTCCTTGTCTGTAACAGGGGATATCAATATGCAGGTTTGTCATGTAGATTAATCCCATCTAATAAAAGAGTGATATGCAAATTGACCATCACGCCAATACACAAGATGGCCACCCCCATGTGGTCAAAGATGGCTGCCTCCATGTGGACACAAGATGGCTGCCACAAGATGACCTACAGGGGAGTGCAGATGGGGGTGATCAGGCCTGAATGGGAGGGCAGGTAGGGGTGACCAGGCTTACAGAGGAGGGCTGGTGGGGATGACCAGGCCTGAAGGGGAGGGCAGTTAGGAGTGACCAGGCCATCAGGGGAGGGGAGTTAGGAGCAATCTGACTGGCAGGGGAGCAGTTAGGTGTTGATCAGTCTGAGAGGGGAGAGGTTAGGGGGTGATCAGGCTGGTAGGCAGGTGAATGGTTGGGAGCCAGCAGTCTTGGATTGGAGAGGGTGCAGACTGGTCCAAGGGATACACACACACACACACACACACACACACACACACGTGCACGAATTTTGTGCACCAGGCCTCCAGTTGGAGCATTATACAAATTGAATGCCAAGCACAGTGTCTGAAAAGTAGTAATTCCTCCATAAATGTTACTTTGCCTTCTGGTGTAACTCACGTTGCCAGGGAAGATGTGGAATCAGAATGGATAGGGGACAGTTCTGCTTGAAGAAGAATGTGTGAAATAAAAGAATGCTTTTAAGAGAATGTACACCAAAAATAGTAAAAATCTTAGCCTTGATGGGATCTACTGATGTTCTATAGTGATTGAATGATTGACACTATTCTGGGCACAACCCTAACGGCCATTGATAATAATAGAGATGCTTTCTCATCTTGTGGAAATGGACCGTGTTAGCTGGAAGAATGCAGTCTTTGAGTCTTCCTCTAGAAAGATCCAACTAAATCAAGAATTTTCAGAGAAAACGGACCTGTATGATCAATTTAAGTACAAGCTTACAGATAGAAAAAAGACTAAAGAATAATTAGAACTCTTCAGTCTAGAAATATAAAGACCATGAAGGAATAGTGTCAACATTTATAAAATTATTCATTGAATGCAGTAAATATGGATATGGTCATTGAATTCCAAAATGTTAGGCCACTGGGATACTGAAAAGGAGGGAATGCTTCACCTAGAAATCCACAAACTGTTATTATAATAAAAACGATTATTACTCTGATTTATAAGTAAGTGTTCCAAAGCATTTTTGAAGTACATGGAAAGGAACGACATAAAGGGAAAGTTGAGCCCAGCTGGTATGGCTCAGTGGTTGAGCATCGACCTCTGAACCAAGAGGTCACAGTTTGATTCCTGGTCAGGGCACATGGCCAGGTTGGGACTCCATCCCCAGTGTGGGGTGTGCAGGAGGCAGCCGATCAATGGTTCCCTCTCTCTTTCTCTCAATGATGTTTCTATTTCTCTTTCCCTCTCCCTTCCTCTCTGGAATCAACAATAACACGTATGTGAAGGGAAAGTTGAGAATGTAAAAGTTTGGGCAGTTATAGAGGCTTTTCCCCTGTGTAGGCGCCACCGTGGGACAGGTGTGTGCGATCGACAATGACGAGCCTGGCTCACTGCACACAATGCTCAAGTACTCCATCGTGCAGCAGCTGCCAGTGGCCCCCACGCTGTTTTTCATGAACCCAACCACAGGCGTGATCACCACCACCACGTCTCAGCTGGACAGAGAGGTAACGCCGACACTCCCCACGTGTTGTTCGCCATGTTAGTTCATGGCACCTGTAGTCAATGTGTTTTTGAACGGTATGTCATGAATCCAGCTTTCCAAACATTACCATTTGAAGCATGTTGAACTTCTTGGTTGACAAAATGTCTTTCAAATGTACCCTCTGAATAACCACTGTTGTCTTTTATCTGAAGACGGTAGCTGTTAAACACAGCGACAGCAGCTAGTTCAGCTCATAAGTCAATCACACGAGCACTTTCCTTGAGAGGAACCGCCGACTGTGTTACTCAGCAGATGTGCCCCGTTCACACCTCCCATTTCTTCACATGGACTGTGGACTGAAACTGAATAAATTAATCATTTTTTCCCACCTCATCCACAAAGAAATTCCGCAGTGAAATTGGCACTTATTTGTCTTATTATTTATAAATTCATCTATGTTTATTGTGAGTATGTGCCAGTGAAGAATACAATATCATTTCCTGGATAAATGCATGAATTCGTGTTATAGCTCTGCATCATATGCAGGTTTTTTTACAGAATTGATGTACTCAGGAAAAGCAGATTGTAAATCAGTCTCTTTAGTAGATTCTTCTGACAGAATCGGCTGAAGACGAACCAAGGAGTCTTGGGGCGGTTTTATCCAGTGGCTCTGGGGCCATTTCAGGCTCCCAGATTCCAGCTTCCCTCTGCTGCCTTCCGCCCTGGAAGGCCTTTGAACCCCAGAGGACAGCACAAATTCACATTTAGGCTCGCAACACTGCACGTCTTCTCTTATCAACCAACTGGTTATTTCCAATAAGGCTTAGTTCACTACGAATAAAATGTATATTTCCTCCTGGGAGTCTATTAGAATGAGGTCTTTAAAATATTTAATACAATAGGGCTGTTCTTTTCAAGCCAACATATGTGATTGGTTTGAGAGAGAAGTAAATCAGAAAAAAAAATATGTATAAAGAGCCTAGAGATTGACAGAAATTTTAGTTTTTAAAGAAATGAATGAAGATAAGGAAGTTTAAGAGTAATGGAATTAAGGGAAGAAGGTAGATATTCTAAATAGAAGGTTAGGATGGTTTTTCACATATTATTTTTTGTCTTATGAAAAGAGGGGAATTATGTATTGTTATCATCTCTCTATATGTAAAAGCAAATATAGAGATGCAAATTGTCTGCTTGGGAGTTTGATGGGGAGACCAGGAGTTCGCTTGCTTGCTATGACATGTGCTGACCAACAGGGGGTGGTGCAGAATGAAGGAAGGCCCTGGCTGGCAGCCCGAAGGGCCTGATCAGCCCTTATCCCCAGCCAGGCCTAGGGACCTTACCCGTGCACAGATTTTGTGCACCGATCCTCTAGTTGTTTTAAAAAGAGGAAACCTAGGTAAGGGGAATGTTTCAACTGCCTGCGATTACATTGTTATTTTGGGAGTTGGGAATAGAACCCAGGTCTTCTCATGTTCAGTCTGGAGGCATTCTTTCCCATGTTTATAATCTATGCCTCAATTACTTACCATAAATAAAGCCACCACAAGGAGAAACACATTTTTAACTAGTGGTAAGCTTTCTGCAATCTCTAATGAATGGAGATTTCTAAGAGCCAGATTTTATTTTCCTTGGAGACAACAAATGACATAGTTCCGACCCCTGTTTTCATGCGAATTTAATGATATTTTTTATCAATGTAAATTCTTAAATGTAAATGTTTAAAATCTCTCTTTTTTACAAAATGATATTCACATCATCTGGCATGAGTCACTGCTATCTGTTTTTGAACATCCAAGAATGTGCTTTGGGTGGGAGATAAAGATTTTGATTGATTAATAGGCAATGTTAAATGTACTAAGACAATGGTCAGCAAACTGCGGCTCTTTGGCCCCTTTAGTGTGGCTCTTTTACAAAATTAGGAGAACTCTAAGTTAATAACAGTGTACCTACCTGTATAGTTTAAGTTTAAAAAATTTGGCTCTCAAAAGAAATTTCAATTATTATTCTGTTGATATTCGGCTTTGTTGACGCATGAGTTTGCTGACCACTGTACTAGGACCATATCTTTTCTTTCCATTGAGTAAATTTAAAACCAGTTGATTCCCCCATCTAGGAGTCGCACTTTAAACCTGCGGAAACTGCTCTGCTTTCACAAACTAAGTGAATATTACTAGTGGGAGGGGATTATTCTTCTGCCAGCATTTGAAAGCAATGAACTTTATCAGCGTCCCTCTTACATTCTTCAATGCAGGGGTAATGGTAAAGTGTAGAATAAGACTTCGTGTCTAATGGTGCTTTCACTCAGCCATTGAATTCTTACGTTCCTTCCAGGTACTGGACAAATACCAGTTGAATATAAAAGTGCAAGACATGAATGGCCAACATTTTGGCTTGCAGACCACTGCCACCTGCGTCATTCACATCGAAGATGTCAACGACCACCTGCCGACCTTCACACGCTCCTCTGTAAGTACGTGGTCTCCGTGAGAGCCCCGTGTCCATGGCTGACGAGGCCCATGTACGTCCATGATTTCCAATGGAGGGTCCCCTGATGGCCATGGAGTGGAGTTTAAAACCATGGAAACACAGACCTTCGGAAATGTTCTGTTTTTGGGGAGTTGCTAACTCTTTGTTTTGTTTGTGTTATTTTAGTACGTGGCATTCGTGGAAGAAAATACAGTGGACGTGGAAATCTTGCGTGTCAGCGTGGAGGATAAGGATTTAATTAACACTGCTAACTGGAGAGCTGTGTATACCATTTTATCGGGCAATGAAAACGGACATTTTAAAATTGTAACAGATCCCAAAACCAATGAAGGGGTGCTGTGTGTGGTTAAGGTAAGAATTAGTTAGCAAATTAGTTGTGCGTGGATTATGATATGATAGATTAGATTACTAGAGTTAATGAAAAGGAAGGGATTTTGATAAATGTAGGAATAACATAGATATTTAGATAACTGTAAATGCTGTGTTCTTCATATATAATGGGATGGATATGTCATTTTGGGAGCCTTTTTCTTTCAATGGAGGTATGACATAGCATTGCATCAGTTTCAGGGATACAACATGATACTTGTATGTGTTGTAAAATGATCACCACAATCAAGTCAAGTTAGTATCTGTCACCACACATACAAGAAATTTTTTCCTTATAAATTTTTTCTTGAGGACTTTCAAGATCCATGCTCCTAGCTACTTTCAAATATGCAGTACGGGATTATTAACTCCAATCACCATGCTGTTCATGACATTCTCATGATCCCCATGACCTACTGACTTTATAACGGAAATTTGTTCCTTTTGGCCAATTGACTCGATAGCCCATAAATAGCACTTTACATTTCAGAAACAACCCGTATCTCCATAAATCAATTAAAAATTGTGTTCACCTGCAGTTGGGGAGCGGGGTTTTTGTTGGTTTGGTTTGGTTTTGCCGGTTTCACCAGTCACTGAGTGAGGTGAAGGACTGCCCTCCCCCCCTCGTTTCTGGGCAGGTGTTTGATAGTCTCCTGACCCTTCCCAGCACCATGCCAACACGGCTCCACATGTAAGGAGTCACACGTGCCCGTTGGCACTGCCCAGCAACCCGTGTCGGGGACTGATCTCCAGCTCTATTGCGTTTGCAGCCGCTGAACTATGAGGAGCGGCAGCAGCTGACCCTGCAAATCTGCGTGGCTAACGAAGCCCCATACTACCGAGAAACGACCTCCAGGTCAGCCGTGAGCACGGCCACGGTCACGGTGAACGTGAAGAACCAGGACGAGGGCCCCGAGTGCGTCCCCCCGGTGCAGACGGTGCGGATTAAAGAGAACGCGCCGGTGAACACGAGGAGCAGCGGCTACAAAGCCTACAACCCGGACACCAAGGGCAGCAGCGGCATCCGGTGCGTATGAGTCCGTGCCAGGAGCTCCGCACGCACCGAGCTTCTTACGTCTGTAACTCATTGGACACCGGATCGTCACTTGGCTCATGATACGCTCTGTTATTTTAACTCCTGATGGACAGGTACAAGAAAATAAATGACCCGAAAGGCTGGATCACGGTGGATGAGAACACGGGATCAATCACAACGTTCAGGAACTTGGACAGGGAGGCCGAGTCCATCAGGAACGGGCTCTATAACGTCACCATCCTGGCGACGGACGAAGGTAAGAGCGGTGTTCTCAGGCCAGCCGCGCACATTTCCCGGCAGCAGGATGCATTCCCAGTGCATCTCCCCCCACCGGTGGCACTGACCGTCATGCAGACGTTTGTTGTACCTTCTTCACTCCTGTCTGCTTTCTGATAGCACCCTCTGGTTTAGGTATCAGGATAAAATAACAGTCCCAGAAACGCTTGGAACTTGAATCACTTTTAAAAGTTGAGTATCCAGCCAAAACCGGTTTGGCTCAGTGGATAGAGCATCGGCCTGCCAACTGAAAGGTCATGGGTTCAATTCTGATCAAGGGCATGAACCTTGGTTGTGGGCACATCCCCAGCGGGGAGTGTGCAGGAGGCGGCTGTTTCTCTCTCATCGACCTTTCTAACTATCTCTCCCTTCCTCTCTGTAAAAAATCAATAAAAAATATATTTTTTTAAAAAGAAAATAAAAGTTAAGTATCCAGCTCCAATCTGTTTGGCTCAGTGGATAGAGTGTCGGCCTACGGACTGAAGGGTCCCAAGTTCAATTCTGGTCAAGGGCAAAAAAGTTAAATATTCATTAAATATTGAGAAAATGACAAGTAAAATGAACTTCAAGTTATGTAGTCCTATCTCTTATAATATTTCATTTATTATAGAGAGAACGTACTTATTGCCCCACTGAAAAATAAAAAACATATATATGTATTTTTTTAAATATATTTTTTATTGATTTTGTACAGAGAGGAAGGGAGAGAGATAGTTAGAAACATCGATGAGAGAGTAATCGATCAGCTGCCTCTTGCACACCCCCTACTGGGGATATGCCCGCAACCAAGGTACATGCCCTTGACTGGAATCGAACCCGGGACCTTTCAGTCCCCAAGCCAATGCTCTATCCATTGAGCTAAACCAGTTTCGTCAAAAAAAAACCCCACAACCATATATTTTTAAAAGCCCTGTTCGTACTCTCTTCCTTTCTCCTTTTAAAAATTAGTCAGAGCTCACGTCCATAAGAGTTTCCAGGTCTATGGTAGCTGTATAGGGAGTAAATGGCAAATCTCGATAGCAGTTACTGTCTGTGCGACCCGTTTGAAAGGTACCCGATAAATATTTAAATAAAAATGTCTGTGCATAATTTCCCGGTGAAAACTCAGAACGTTCCATACTGTGTCTGTGTCGGCTCTCACAGTTGGGAGGACGTGCACCGGGACGCTGGGGATCGTCCTGGAAGACGTGAATGACAACGGCCCGGTCATTCTGAAGAAGGCGGCGGTGATCTGCAAGCCCACCATGTCCTCCACGGAGATCGTGGCCTTCGACCCCGATGACCCCATAAACGGCCCGCCCTTCACCTTCAGCGTGGAGGAGGAGTCCGATCGAGACGCCCGGAGAGCGTGGGCACTGACCAAAATCAACGGTACGGACGCCTGGACACATGGTCCTTCTCACCAGGAGGGTGTCTGAGATATGTTTTCCTTTTTAGTTTTTGGAATTCAATTTCTTGGGGTGACAGTATCTGTTTCCGGTGTGCGATCCCAGTCTGATCTCCGCCCCCATCCTAACCTGTCTGACGCTCTGCACCCTGCTCACCCAGGTGGCAGTGGGAGCCGCCATGAGGAAGGCAGGCTTCTCAGCCGTCATGTGGCAGGAATCGGACCTCCCCAGGGCTCATCTCGAATCCGTCTCGTGCCAGGGTTCCCTTAGGCCAGCGGTCGGCAAACCGAGGCTCTTTGAGCCACATGCGGCTCTTTGGCCCCTGGAGTGTTCTAACGCCACTTCTTCAAAATAGTCTCGCCCAGGCAGAAAACCCACTTCTGCGCATGGGCCACGAAGTGTCCACCCCACTCTGCTTGCACGCCCGAATGTGGTATTGTGTGGAAGAGCCACACTCAAGGGGCTGACGAGCTGCATGTGGCTCTTGAGCCGCAGTTTGCCGACCACGGCCTTAGGTGTTAACGTGGATTCTCACGTTCATTCCTGCTCCACATCCACACACCGTAGGGTGGTCTGTGCCATCACTGTTGTCTTCTGCTTGGGGTTCTCCCTGAACTTGGCTCCTCGTCTGTGCCTCTGCTGTCAAGCACAGCCACCTCTCGGCGACAAGGATGGGGAGAATTAAAGGGACCCTCCCGTGCCCATGGCATTGCTGCCTATGGCAGCTCCTACCCCTCCCGCAGCCGCTCCGTCCGCTGACTGTCCCGCCCGGGGCCAGATGCCCTCTCCCTGGCTCCTCTTTTGGGATGCAGACCGATAAAGCTGAGTGAGGTTTGTGTATAAAATGCCCTGGAAAGATCGTCAATCCCATGCTTTCAGCAATTCCTCCTCAACTTCTCACGGAGGCAAATTAAAAGGAGAAAAGGCTTGAGTAAAGGGAAAGGGAAAACAGATTGGAGGAAGAAAAATAAGGACGTACAGAAGCCGTAGTGGCAAGTCAAGGCCCTGTGTCTGGAATCGTGTGTAAAAGAAATACCACAAATGCTTCCATTAAACTAGAGGCCCAGCGCACGAATCCTGCACGGGCAGGGTCTGGTTGGCGGGGGGACTGACTAGGGGGTTGGTGGGTTGGCCCTGCCCCTGCTTGAACTCCTGGTTGAGGGGGCAGTTTGCATATTCCCCTTTTATCAGGTAGGATTTGTCAAAGCTGTGATAAAAACCAATCTCTTAACAAGTCTCCTAGTTAGGAGAGGAAGACCTTACCCATGGACAGATAACTAGTATTACAAAACCAGACCTTTTTAAAGAGGCGACAGAGACAAACATTTACAGGCAGTGTGCTTCCAACCAAGGGCTGGATGTTAGAACCGTTCGGTCCATTCACATCTGCCATCTCGCAGCAGCTGCGCCATCCTCCAGGGACACCATGTGCAGGCAGTGTGAGGTCTGTCCCGTCATAGCGACTAAGCCCTGACATGCGGTGACGCTTGGTTTTATTTCCTTGTTTTTTTCAGATACGGCAGCACGGCTTTACAACCAGAACGACGCTCCGTTCGGACCGTATACGGTCCGCGTCAGAGTCACCGACAGGCACGGCCTGTCCAGCGTCACGCCCTTGAACGTCATCGTGTGTGACTGCATCACCGAGGACGACTGCTCGCTCCGCGGGCTCCCCAGGACCGGCGCCGGGCAGTTCCGGCTGGGGAAGTGGGCCATCCTGGCCATCCTGCTGGGCATCGCCCTGCTGTTCTGTGAGTCCTGCTCCCACCCGAATCCCAGCTCTTCCAGTAACTCTCCGGGCGGGCGGGGAGAGCAGCGCTGGGTCTGTGGCCGTTCCTCCAGCTGATAGCTGGATGCCTATTTAACACGCAGATTTTTAAAAAAATATATATTTTATTGATTTTTTACAGAGAGAAAGGGAGAGGGATAGAGAGCTAGGAACATCGATGAGAGAGAAACATCGATCAGCTGCCTCCTGCACGCCCCGTACTGGGGATGTGTCCTCAGACAAGGCACATGCCCCTGACCGGAATCGAACCCGGGACCTTTCAGTCTGCAGGCCGACGCTCTACCACTGAGCCAAAGCGGTTTCAGCTTAGCATGCAGATTGGATGCACCAGTGAATGGGCCTGTATTTGTACTTGCGCTGGGATCTCAGCGTAAACCAAACTCAGCCGGGACCACAGCCACGGCGGGCCTCTGCCGGTCTGTCTGCGGGGCAGGCGCGTCTGTCCCGCCCGGAGACCGGCCGCCCTGCATGCCTCCCGGGAAGCCGCCTCCGTCCCCATCAGACGCCCAGGCCTCCCCGCGGTGCTCACTCCGGGACTCTCCCCCGCAGGCATCCTCTCCACCCTCGTCTGCGGGGTCACGGGCACAGCCAGGAAGCCCAAGCCCCTTCCCGACGACGTGACCCAGCAGAACCTCATCGTGTCCAACACCGAGGCCCCCGGCGAAGACAAAGTGGTGAGCGGCCTGTCTTTATTGTTTAATTTAAATACTTCCATGGGTTCTGAGAGAGAGAGAAGGGGTGCGGGGGAGAGAGAGAGACAAACATGGATGTGAGAGCGGGTGGATCGCCGGTCTCCTGCACGCCCCACCCTGGGGATCAGGCCTGCCCCTCTGGCGTGTGCCCTGACTGGGAATCCGCCTGGCAACCTTTCAGTGCACAGGACGGCGGGGCCCAACCCACTGAGCAACACTGGCCAGGACTGTCTTTTTTAAAATAAATACAAGGGACAAATTGGCCTAACCAACGATCGTCATCTTTTTCTGAACAAAGTTCTTTTGAAACCAGGTAACTTGCTGTATAGAAACGTCATCGGTCCCATGGAACGTGTAACGTGGCATCGATTTCCCTGGCAACAGGTGGCATTTCTGTGTGGCCACACAGGGCTTTACTCAATAGTAACAGTCCCTGAGCCTGCTAGCATTACTTCCTATTTCAAGTGTTTCATGATTTCAACATTACATATCTATCTATCTATATATATATTGAAACCGCTGTTTGTGTTGTAAAAAGGTTTCGATTAATTATTCACAGGTCATTAGCATAATTATTTTAATCTTATTTTTTTGGCAACAGCACTAACCTGACTATGAGCTTTGCTCCCCACGGGAAGGACTCCAGTGGAGTCTCTCTGGCTCTCCTGTGGGAAGGAGTCTTGGGACTCATACATGAAACAGCAAGGCCAGCGAGTGACTGCTGGGCCCTGACTTTGATTTCTCACCTAAAACGTCCATGAGGAACAAGTACATTCCCTGCCAAAGGCATAATCCGTGGTTGGAGCTGATTTAGAAAAGAGATTTAGAAAACAAAAGGAGGGTGGCGTCTAGGAGGGTGTGGGGGGAGGTGAAACTTGGGGTTCTCTCTAACAACACAACGTAGCAAATCAGGGCAAGCTCTGGTGGCCTTCTTTTCCCGGCCGATGTAATTTTATTTATTTAGATTGCCAAGGTTCATGATTGCAGCTAAAATTCTTTTTGTTGTTAATCCTCACCCAAATATATTTTCCATTGATTTTTAGAGGGAATGGAAGGGAGGGGAAGAGAGAGAGAGAGAGAGAGAGAGAGAGAGAGAGGGAGAGAGACATGGAATGGTACCCGCCCACATGTGCCCAGGCCACAGCTAAGATTCCTTTATGGCCACTTTAGCTCTGTCATTCTTGTTTTGGTTGAAGGGGAAGCAGCTTTGACACGGAATGAAAATCCCGGTCCTCGTCTCTGTTTCCCCAGTCTGGTGGCGGGAGTGGCGTTAGACTAAACAGGGGAAGCGTGTGTGAGACACAGTCCCAGCGTCCTGGCTGCAGGCAGGAGGCGCTGGGAGGCTTTAGCAGAGGAAGCTGGCAGCCTTGGAGGAAGTGTCTAAGGACAGGACCCCGTCAGCTTTCTGATTTGTCTCAGGGTCCGGGCCGCTCAACCCCTGCCATGTGTGGCTTGCCTCGGACACCACTGAGCCTGTGGTTGCAATAGCTGAGCCTCAGGGCAGCCAGGCAGGCTCAGCTCCTGCTCTCAGAGAGCTCACCTCCTGGCACAGAGACTCAGGCCTTATCCGCATGCTTCTTGTTGTTCTTGTTGTTGTTCTTCTTCTTCTTGTTCTGTTCCTCTTGGTCTCCTCTGTGGCCGCTGACGCAGTCTGTTTTGTTGCAGTATTCCACCAATGGCTTCACCCACGCCGTGGGTGGTGTGGGGACAGGGGCCTGTGGCACCATGGGATCCGGGCTGATCCACGGAGGGCAGGAGACCATCGAGATGGTGAAGGGACACCAGACCTTGGACTCGTGCCGGGGGCAGCATCACATGCTGGAGGCCTGCGGGCCGGGCCGCGTGGAGGTGGACACCTGCAGAGGCGCCCACTCCGAGTGGCGCAGCTTCACCCAGCCCCGCCTCGGCGAGGTGCGTTTCCCCGAGCTGCCCGCACGCCCACCGATTCCTCCGCACCTTCCTACATGATTGCAGTCCAATGGCCTGATTGAACCTCGTTCTTAGTGATTAGTCTAACGTGGAAAGCTGCTTTCCTTCATTTTGATTTCGTTCTGCGAAGTGGGTCTTGGCCTCACATGTTGCTTGGTTTTTAATTCTTACCGAAATCATGTGAGATATTTAAATTACCATCCTCATGGCATCGTGTTTATAGTTCCCATGTGTGCGCTCGTGGCTTACAAATCAAAAGGGTGATCTCAGACGATCCCAGCCACACGGTCACCAGGCCTCTCTGGAAAGATCTGTACATGTGTCCACTGGGACCATTTAAGACCGTGGTCAGCAAACTGTGACTCGCGAGCCACATGCGGCTCTTTGGCCCCTTGAGTGTGGCTCTTCCACAGAATACCATGACCTGGGCGAGCCTATTTGGAGGAAGTGGTGTTAGAAGAAGTTTAAGTTTAAAAAATGTGGCTCTCCAAAGACATGTCAATCATTGTACTGTTGCTGTTTGACTCTGTGACCAATGAATTTGCCGACCACTGGTTTAAGGGATGCATTTTGCGTCAGCCAACATTTTTAAAGGGAAAGTGAGGGTCCCTTGAAATGAGCTCTTGTATCCTTGTGTCCCCTGGGTGGCTTTTAGAAACATGCTATGTCATGACTGTACAGTGTGATGTGTGATACAGACCAATCATGTGCATTTCTTACATGTAGGACTCGATTAGAGGACACACTCTGATTAAAAATTAAACAATCGAAGGTAAATCAAAGCCCTTTTTTCACGTTGGTAAGTCTTGGTGTTTAAAAAGCCAATACTAAGAGGCATTGTGTCCCCCTTGGCAGAAAGTGCAGCTGTGCGACCAGGACGACGGTCAGGGGCACGCCCAGGACTACGTGCTCCCCTACCGCTACGAGGGCCAGGGCTCCGTGGCCGGCTCCGTGGGCTGCTGCAGCGACCGGCAGGAGGAGGACCGCCTGGACTTCCTGGACCACCTGGAGCCCAAATTTAGGACACTCGCAGAAGCATGCGTGAAGAGATGAGTGCATCTGACGCGTCTACCAACACCTGCGGCTGTATCACCTTTTCTGCCTTCCTTTTTTTAAAAACTAAGTTAAAGACCAGGGTTGGGGTTTTTGTTGGGTTTTTGTTTTTTTGTTTTGTTTTTCAATAGAGGACACTGTGCTCGAGTTGGGGCTACCCTTTTGTTCTGATGGGATGTCTTGAGGAAAATGCAATGAGGGAGAGATGCTATGAATGAGTGAGTGCACTCATTTCTCAGTTCTTCACGTGGTTTTTCAGTTACTTGTCTTCCACCCCAAGAGACCTACAGAGATAGAAATATTAAGGAAGTCTGCGTTATTGTTTACATGCTGGTGTAACGACAACAGCCAAGTTACAGTGCAATGAACACGAATGTAAGTCTTTATCGTAGGCTAACGTGTTACCTAACAGAAACACTGTGGAGGCCGTGCTTTAACGAGATCTCCTGTTACCTAGTTCATTCATTGTTGTGTGGTGCTGAAGACTGTGGTGCTCCTAACCACTCTGAGGTGTGTGTGTGTGTGTGTGTGTGTGTATATATCTATATCTATCTATCTCTCTCTCTCTCTCTCTCTCTCTCTATATATATATATATATATATATATATATATATATATATATATACTCTGCATTATTGGTGTTTTCTCTTCTTACACCAAGACCTTTCTTCACAGTGCAAAGGGAGATTCCCAACCAGGCGCTGACTGTATATTCCGTTTTGGTGGAGTAGAGTTTCTACGTTGTTTTCTATATGAAATCTTGCATTGAGTCTACGTTTGCCTCTGTTTCCCCCTTGTCAGCAAAAGTTAAGTTTAAAAAGTGCTTTAAGAATGTATTTTTATTCTTGCAAAGTTTTGGGTTCTCTCTCTCTCTCTCTCTCTCTCTCTCTCTCTCTCTGTCTCTCTCTTTCTCTGTCTCTCTCCTCCTTTCTCCTCCCCTCTTTCTCTCCCTCTCCTCCTCTCTATTCCATTTCTTTTCCTCCTCTCTCTCTTTCTCTCCTCTTTTTTTTTTTTAAATTATTTCTTGGGTTGTATAATTCAATATATTTTTAAAAACTATCTCTTTTTTATTCTCTTGTAAAGTGAGTTATTCTGTTTCCGTTTTATGTGAAGTCATGCATTCTTAATTTTCCTGAAATCAATGTTACGTTGACTTTATTGTTTCAAATATCTTGGTGACTACTTCATTATCTCTTCAACAAAGAACATTTAATTTTGTCTTTGAAATTGTAGAAATGTGTGTGTGTGTGTGTGTGTGTTTTATTAGATTCAACTTTCTATGTTAACAAAAGGAATAGTGTAATTAAAATTGGGATGTGGCCATTTTGTATATAATAGAATATTTATAGTTCTATATTTAGTGCAAGGATACTGTTTATAAATGCCAAATAGTGATGTTTTTTCAAATAAGCTTTGAAATACAGGGACTGGGAGAGCTCTGAGGGAACATATATTGTGTAGCTTTTTGAATGGCTTGGTTTGTCATAGCTATGTGCTTGTGGAGTTATTTTTTTACTATTTTAAGATTACAGTTCTTAATAATGTAGAGAAAACTATTTAAATTTTGAAATAATGAGGCAAAGTTAAGTTTAATAGTCAACCAAATTCCAGGCCAGGTTTCACAGTCAATAAGTTTTCTATATATGCTAATCATGTGGATGTTTTAAGTGCTTTTCTAACCTGTGTGACTGTGAAGTCATATGCCTATCTTGAATTCACAAGGTTGGCTTGTAACAATTATTTTTAAGGATTAACATTTGATAATTATTCAATAATTGGTTTACCTTTTCCATGGTTTCATTACTGCCAGTCAAATATACTATTTTTAAAGAACTATAATACATATGAATTTCTTGTATTGGTTATGATATAGTATTGGTTATGATAAATCAAGTAGTTTTGAAAATTAGCATGAGGTTGTTAATTACATGTGTGATATGAGAATTTATTTGTGGGGTTTTGTTTTCTTATTTAGAGAAATAAGTCAGTTTCTTTAGAATCCTGTTCTATATTTTTTAGAATTTTAGAGTTTGATTTGGAAATTCATTGTTATTATTTTCTAAAGACTGATACTATGGGCTATTGTTAAGTTGTATAATTTCTCTGTGTCTTTTTTTTTTTCATCATAAAATGGGGAATAATAATAGAACTTCTTTCTTAGAGTGACTGTAAGACATTTGAATAAAAAAAATGGGTTTTAAGCATGAACGTCATACCCCTAAAAGACACTCTTAATAATATGAAATGATTTTAAGTAAGTCACATGTACAACCTGTGTCATGTTAACAAACATCGATTAGGAAAATAAGGTAATGGGAAGGTTTTTGGTCAATGTTTTTTTGTTTTTCACTTTAGAATGTTGTCAGTTGAGTATGTCTCTCTTCATAACGCTGGCTTGGTAACTGGGTATTACACGTTCAGTAGTTCCGAACATACTAGTACATTGCAGATTGCCGAGGCATGGGCAGGATTGGTGAGCCTCAACTACCAGGAAACGAATCAGATGGGAAGAAGTGCCTCCCCTTCTTAAATGGGCACGAATGCCAAGGCCCTAGGAACATGTGTGTGGTGAGGCTCCTCCCGCCGCGCCTGCCTCCGCTGCTCTCCCAGCTGCGGCCAGAGAGGGGACTGGCCTCAGAGGCCAGCGTGGGCCTGCCTGGGAGTTCACCTCTCTTTGGCAGCCCCCTGCGGGTGCAGAGGCTCCGGCGAGAGGGCCTGATGCAGACCTCCCCTCCCTTGCCCCTCCCTACTCCCCTTCCTGGCTGCTGGATTTCAGAAGCCCCTTCAGCTCTGAGTCTAATTCCCTCCCTTGTCTGGCCTGTTGGAGGGAGGTGGAGGGGTCTGCTTCCTACTCTTGTTATCAGAGTGTGAAGAGTTGCAAAGAGTCACCACTGTGTGTGTGTGTGTGTGTGTGTGTGTGTGTGTGCGCTCCTGCAGTGTGATGGGAGAGGGGCTGTGGTTGGGTAACCATCACTCCAGCCTCCACTTTGCTCTGCAGCTGACACCTGGCCTGATGCTGCATCCTCCCAGAGGGCTTTTTACTGCAATGGCCTTGGCCTTGGGAGCTCCAAGGCTTAATAATGGCTTCCAGGGATTGAGGAAGCTGTATCTTACCCACAAACCACCTTCCTGAGGTTGTGGTAAATCTTGAGACTCAAAGGAAAAGCAGATAAAATTACTAATCAACCTTAGATCGCCTCAGGAGGCAAATTGCTTTCAAACCCTTAGAGGCTTTGCCTGAGAAATGGGCGGTGCTATTTCAGCAGGAAAAAGCGATAGGGATTGGCTGGTAGCTCAGTGCAGCCTGTGTTAGATCTCCCTGTAATCACTTTCTTTTCTTTTTTTTTTTTTTTTGGATCTGACTTTGACAACAGGGTCCCCCAGTCTCCATTTCCAGCCTTTTCCTGGGCTCCGCATTGAACTCTTGACACCGGATGTTGCCCTGGTCAGCCCTTAGGCAGGTCACATCCTGAGGACAACGAACTACCCCCTCCGTATGGCTAGAGACATCGCATGTCCAACCTCCTCCAGTAAATGAAGCTCTGAGGGTTACATGATGCCCGCTTAGACCTCGGTTCTGCGAGAACCGTGATCCTGCCAGGACTTTAAACTTTGCCAGAAGACAAACACGCTCCCACATCAGGGCAGATTTTCCTGTTTGCCATAGAGTGTCTTCCTAGTCACTAAGGCCGGAAACAGCATCCTTGATTCTTTCTCTCTCTTTGCTCCACACAATCTACTTGTTGTCCCAAACTGCCCAATTTCCTGAGAATTTTAAACACCAATTTCTCAGCTTAAATGTATTTGTTTACTAGAAGCCTAGTGCACGAAATTCATGACTGAGTGGGGGTTTCCTCAGCCCAACCTGCATCCTCTCCAATCTGGGACCCCCGTGGGGGATATCTGACTGCTGGTTTAGGCAGTCAGACATCCCTTTCAAAACCTAGGACTGCGGGTTCCCAACCACTTGCCTGCCTGCCTGATCACCCCCTAACTACTTCCCTGCCAGCCTGATTGATGCCTAACTATTACCCTGCTGGCCTTAATCACCCCCAACTGCCCTCCTCTTCCAGACTGATTGCCCCCAACTGCTCTCCCTTGCTGGCCTGGTTACCCCTAACTGCCTTCCCCTGCAGACCTGGTCACCCTCAACTGCCCTTCCCTGCCAACCTGATCTCCCACAACTATCCTACACTTCCAGCCATCTTGTGGCAGCTATCTTTGACCACATGGCAGTGGCCATCTTTGTGAGGCCATGAGGGTCAATTTGCATATTACCTCTTTATTATATAGGATTGCTTGACTCTATTTCACCTTTGTCTCCAGTGTTTTTTCCTTTCTCCTTAGTAATCACTTGGCAAAACCCTGTCAGTGGATAAACCTGTTTTATGACTGTTGCTTGAGCTCTGAAACCTGGCTTAAGAGAAAAACATTTAACCACGCTGATTCTCAGTGCTGAGTGACCATATACTTTGGCCTCCATCTTTCAGTAACTGCCCTGTGACCTAAGTTAAGGGTTTTTCAATCAGTGAGATGCAGCCATTGACTGAGACACAGCCCATTATTCTGAGGGGTGACAGTCTACATTATTAATGAAGAGAAACGGTCAGTGTATATTACACATAGGAATAGTAAATGTTGTTCGTGAAACTTTTGTTCCAGATTAAATACATAAATTGTATTACTCATGCATTCACTCAGTTCACTCCAATGCTCAGTCTGCAGTCCTTGCTAGGCATCTTGGGTCTTCTCTTTCTCTCGCATCCGTCTCCAACCTATCCACCCACCCTCGGAGGTCTAACTTCAAGTTACATCACAAATCTGGATTTTATAATTAATTCCATCACCACACTGAGAGGGTAAGCCACCATCGCTTTGGCCTGAACAACTACACCTGCCAGGATTGACACGAACAATCCGTTTTCCTGTAGAGCTTCATGAAATGTATAAATCAGGCCTTGCCTCCCTCTTCTAAGTGCTTCCATGGCTCTTTAGGAACA